ATTCAAAAGATGCCAATTTCCAAATAGGGTCCAGAATAAACATGACATTTCTGGCACTAAAATGACATTTCCTCTGTTCATTAGTCACGTCCCAATGCCCCTCTTACATTCTTTTGCACTTTGAATTTTTATTCTCACAAAAAATAGAAGATTTACTGTTGTGCAGACAACTGCATTAGTGTGAAAAATGGTATAAATAATATTGGCGCACTTGTGAAAGAATATTAGACTCGCCAGTTGATGTGTATTGGACGCTTAACATGATTTGTTTACTTTTGAACTTTGATAAAAATCGAACATTTCTGCTACTTTGAGCTCAATCTCAAGGTACTTTTCATTGTAAAATCAGTCAAAAATCATCTCAATTTCTGTAATATGTCTTCCATTCTATAAAATGAGACCAAAAAAACTAGAATACAACAATAAATACCATACGAAAATACAGTGCAAAGTCGCTGTTTTAATCCAAAAACACGGTCAAAGCTATTTTTTTCTCATTACGCACTGTGTGCTGCAGGATTTTTTTTTTTTATACTGCGCACACTGACCACATAGACCCATTCTTTCATATGTAGGCCTACCAGCTTTCTCTCACTAGATTTGAGGGCGCTAGAATTTAGGCGTACTAGCACGGCCGAAACCCTGAAAGGGTTAATAAAGCCCAAAACTGCTTTGGGCAGGACTTTTTATATTAAGAATTGCAAGATTGTAACAGACTAAATTACATTAATGGAAAAGAGGAGTTGGGGAAAAGCACTAAGTCTGAAAAGGTTATACACCTGGAGGAATGGAACGCAATTAGGCTCAATCTTAGGAAAGGAAGGAAAATCCAGTTCCTTGAATCAGGACCCCCCCCCCCCCTCACCAACAACTGCCCTGGTAACAAACATGCATATAACACTAAACTACTTTTTAAAGGGTGGCCCAGAAAGAAAAATGAAAGTTTCTCTTTTTAAATTCAGTAATTTATACAGGAGAAGGGGTTACTTGCCCCTTGCTCCCGGTATTTTAGTTGCCTCTTATGATACACATGACTTACAGAGGAAGAATTCTGTTCCACTTCCCCATAGAGACAGGAGGAAATAAACAAGAACAAGAACTAGTAAGGAAATAGAAGAAAATACAGAGGTGTGTATATATATGCTTGTACACATGTGTAATGTGACCTAAGTGTAAGTAGTAAGATATACCTGAAATCTTGCATTTGAGAGACAGAAAAGGCACCATCAATCCTACCATTATGTAAAATAAGTACAGGCTTCCGTTTTACACTTGGCAGAACGATAGTACCTCCCTGGGTGGTTGCTGTCTATCAACCTACTACCTAGAGCTTTTTACACTTATTTGTAATTATTTTTTCACTGAATATACACTTTACAATCATTTTATATTTTAGGTGTTTTTCAGGGCATGGTATTCCACAATGCCACATTGCCCCAGTACTTTATCACTTCTGTGATATTTTGGGCAGTTTTCTTCTCTAACAGGAATAACCATAAAGTGTCATACTGGCCTGAGTCCCATATACTTACATTTCTTGGGAGGATAGTTTGTGTATCTCTCAAGTCTGCAGTTTCTAGCTTTTAGTTCTCTATTTCCCTAAGCACTACTGTAATCACTTGTGTAATAAGTACCTATTCTTCTGTGTTGGAGGAAAGGGGTTAGCTGTGTCTTGCAGTAGATGGCTTGCATTTTTATCATTGCTCTCAGATGAATATTTCTCTGAAATTCTCTTCTTCATTGCAACTTGCATCACTGCTACCAATGTCATTACACTGTACATGTGAATCCTTCAAAACTGACATGCTTAAATTATTTCTTCATGGTACCTGACTTGCCTGTATTCTAGCACAGCCTTCCATGATGCCCCATGTGGGCCAAGATTTTCTCTACAAGAGCACCCAACTCCAGAAGTTTGGCTTAAGGACTGTGATTTTTGCACATTAATATGTTACATCCAGATGAAGGTTTACCTACAACTACATACTGTAATAACCAATATATTATGTGAACAGTAAAAAAAAAAATAAAATAATTAGTGAATTGTACAAGAATGTTTCAAGAAGATTGTACAGCCTCTCCTCACTTAGCAATGTACAGTACTCGACAGGATCTTTAACCAGCATTCATACCTAAATAATGTATGTTAGAGTTGATTTCCTCTATTCTATTACAATATACAGTACACTATTGTATAAATATTTAAAAATATACCAGAAATGCTATAAATCATGCAAAGGTGACATTAAAACAATATCAAAGATGGTTGACACAAACCCACTACCATCAGTATGCTCCTCACTTACCGATGAGGTCTTAGGAATGGAACTCCGTCGTTGAGTGAGTAGAGGCTGTACTGTAAATGCTTAACTATAGTTTTTTCTAACATTTTGTAAAGAAGTAAACTACAGGTATAAACTTTCAAACAAACACCCTTGAGACAGAAACTGCTACTTTTCAGGATTTTCCAGATTTTGAGATTCAATAAAATCTGGTACTCTATCACATGCCTAGTTTCCCAAAGCAGCTTATGACAGCAAATATTTGGTGTTGGTATTTATATACATGAGAGATAAAGTATAAATACATATGTTACACAGTACCCAGTCTCCTTGGAATAACTACATTACACTATCATAAAGGAAAACTACACTTGTAAGGGCCTGGGGAATGGGAAAGGTGGGGGATAATTAGACTTGAGTTGAGTTAGAGTAGCTCAATTTCTTTGGATCAAAAGCTCTTTACTAGCAATAAATATTCTTCCCCAAGAGAGGGAAAGGAGGCAAGGAAAAACCAAGGTTGCCAGGCATTGGTCATTTTTAATACTGTATCTTCTCATTCATGTTGAGTGTTTTGCAGTACAGCATTTAAGAGTGAGTGAAGGATGTACACAGCCCCCTTTCATAATTTATAAAGAATTTGTTACTGTATTTGTTTTTGTCAGATTGGCTAAGTTTTATGTTACTGTCAGATAGTTAACAGACTTATCCTATGGTTAAATAGTTGACTAGTTGAAGCTTGTGTTCAGATATTAAACTGATGTTTGTGTTGGGTTTGTTGCAAATGGACTTCTGTGCCCACATTGAACAGTACACTTTTTTCCATGACACTTCCAAGTGAAAGTACAGTACACTTTATCATGATGGAGTGCACTAAACAGGAGTTATATAATGCTTGGGGAAATAGAAGGTATCAGATTCTAGCCAAGGAAAGGTCAGGTCCAATTCTTTGTATCAAGAGTCCCTTAATAATACCAATGAACCTCTGATTTTCACTGTTAGCCATTGAGCTATCACTAGGCCTCTTGACATGCAACTAGCTATATTCTGTATCCCACTAAAAACAAACCAGCAATGAAAATTAATGTGGGTTTTGAGAGATTTCAAATACTTAAGGGTGCCAGACTTTAGTTTATACCTGTACTACATGGTTACAGAAATTAAGGAGTCAAAAACATTGCTAAACTTATAAAACAATTCAGTGAAATTTATGTTAATATCTTTAAGCCTAAAAGAAAAGTTAATTATATTAGAAAATACAAATTTTGTTATTAAAAGAATGGTGACCAGTAATTATCATATTAATGGTATACAATACCTACAAGCTGTTGAACAAGACAAATACAACACTTGGGTATCTTTATTACAAAAATGTTTCACCTACACAGCAGACTGCTTAGTTAAACATACAGATGATTTAAATACTGGAGACAGTACAAGTGGAGAGTTAATTTTGAGGTATGCAGCCTGAGGGACCAAATACCTCAAAATTACCCCTCCACTTTTACTGTCTCCAGGATTTAAATCACTACTGTTTTTAACTGAAGTGATGTGTTGGCATTAAAGATACCCAGGTGTTGCAGACATGTCTTGTTTATCAATCTGTAATGTATAAAGGAGGAGATATTTAACACTTTGTCCATGCACAGTAGATTTATCATAGAAAGACAGACACACACACACACACAAATATCCAATAACAACTCTCATATATTGTAACATCCAGCATTAGAAACTAAGACAAATAATGCAACATCATTCACCTGTATAGAAATAATTAAATTTGCAGTTTACATAGTAAGCAAAAAATTTAATAAACTGTTGTCTCTTACTCAAAATCTCTTAAAGGCAGGCCATAATTTTAAGTTTTTAACTATTACATTCCTAATTCTTATTTAATTTACTGAATTAAATATAATTTAACAATTATAAGCATAAAGGGCTATTTACTTAAGTAACAAAATTTAATGTTTGCCATTAATTTTGATAGCAATATTATTGTTGCACAGCTATCTGCTGTTATTGTACTATGTATTCATACTTTTACACTACTGTATAATAACCTGTGTGGTAAAGATCGACGTTGTTAAGTGTGAAAATGCCAACTGTAGTATGGAAGATATACATTATATATGTATTTATATATGATGAAGCATAAAAGTGTAGTGGACACTTGATAATGAAATGAGGAAACCCACATGGCAACAGACACACAAGGTTAAAAGATACTATATTTCAGCTGAAGATCTCAAAGATTGACTTTTTTTTTTTTTTACATTGTTTCTGTCTCCATGAAGGTTTCCTCAATTCAGAAAAGATTTTATATATACAGTATATATATTGTATATATAAATAAGCACACTAGTGGTGGATATAACACACATTAGTTTTTAGAAACGGGAAATTCTTCATGGCTTGTTGTCATAGACTCTTGTGCACCAAACTGCCTTCTTCCTTTGGTTGATAATGCTTCATCATATTTAACATCTTGTTTATTGTTCCATGGAAAACTTAAGAAGAAAATCAACCATTTACATAGAATACAATTGTGAAAGATCATGTTTATACGTTTCCTTGCTGTAATTGGTGAATGTTTCTCCTTTTGTTTTCTGGAACAATTAAAGTTACAAAAACAAAAGAAAAAGTTATGTTGGATTTGAGTTGTCGACAAGCATTACACTTTTGAGAGGTTTGGTTACAGAGGTTATTAACTACTTCAAATGGTAGTGATAATTTTTAATCGCTGAAGTGATTTTTGAAAGTAAAAAAATATAAAATACTTTTACTTGATGTCCTGTGCCAGAGCATTGTTGTTTACATTTTGCCCTAAGAAGAAGGTAAGCAGTCTGAAATGTATATGTTGTGAGTTAGTAGCTTCTTGAACCTTGCCTATCATTTCACATTAGTTGTACTCACAGAGTGTGTAGGCTCGCTCACAAAGCCTCAGCTACTAGTTATGTGTATAATGTACAGTATCATATATAACTTCTTCACATAATTCGAAAATATGTACGCTTTATCCCTTTTCATTTGCTGTCCAACAGTAAAGAATGCACTTAAGTATCTTCTTTAAAATGCACAGTTCTTTTTTGCATCTGTTATAAAAGTTCTTCAGAATTTATCACAGTATATTGCCATTTAAAATGTTCTGTAGCTATAGTATCATATGAGCAATTTATTGTATAGATCTACTGTATGTAATGTGCCATAAAATTTTGTAAATACAGTATTTTATGATATTGTAAGCATTGTCCACAGAATGAGATATATACAGTACATAACAATAGTATAAGAGGGACATATCAAAATAAATTTTCATGAGAATCTCCTATTGGTGTAGACCCTGATTTGTTTAGCACAGTTGTTTGTGCTGTTGCACAGAGGATCTTATGTGATCTCTTTTTATGTTTTTTTTTTTCAATCTCACATAGTGGAGTTTTGCACATATGTATATAGAGGAAGTAGCCCAGTGAAAACTGAATTTCCAGATCATTGGAACCTTTTGTAAAAACATGTAAATTAATTATAATTATGAATATGTGGCGAGCATAGTGTGATTATATTGTGATTTAACTTTTCCTTGACTGTGTGCCATAAGTTATATAGAACTTATAGTTAACTAACTGTTCACCTCCATGGTGAGCAAAATGTACAGGAAGTGTTCATCTGCAGGAATTAATTACATTTATGGGAAGTTTTTGTGTATTTTGTTAATTAGTTCTAATATGAAAATCTTCTCATAGTTGGTAATACTACTACAGTACTTGGTCACAAAACTACTTTCATTGAAATATGAATGAATATTGTGTATTGCAAGTTTATAATGATTTGCTTGATGGTGCTATTTATTTGAAGACCAGTGGTGGTGCACTGGAATAGCTGGGCTTCATACAGAGTAGTAGAGGCACATATAAGTTTTAAAAACTTCTGCAGGTAAGTGAATATGCCTATTAATAGTTAAAGTGAACCATGTCCTAATACTGGCTATATATAGATATTGTGTATGATAAATCAGAGAATACTTAAAAGATTTACTAGTCAGTGTAGTACACAACCTGTGGGCAGTGCAAGATTTTTTAGAAATGTTGAAATGTACAGTGTCATGTATTCAGCTCATAAAAAATACCAATTTTTATGAGATAAGAGTATTTTTTTTTTTTTCAAATTTTTATAGAGCAAACCTTATTGCCATAAAAACAGAAAAAAATGACTTTACTGCAAAAATTAGAAAGCAGTAAATAGAATAATTATTGGTTATCATAGTTTCTTTGTTAAATAAAGGAAGTGATAACCTTAAGTAGTACTTTTTTTTTCTTAAATGCAAAACTGGTAATGTTAATTTTATTCATCACTTTGAAGACTTTGTGGAGCTTGTTTGCACAGGGTCCTCAGGCCACTAAAAAAAAAATAAAAATGTGTTTTCTGGTACATGCCATGTAAATGTAAAGAAATAATTATAGTAGTTTATCTTAGAAAATTACAAAATGCTTTGAAGCATGACATATGGGATATTTAACAGTTTTCCAAATGTTCCATGTATAGTACAGCTTTGAATGGTGTAAGATAAAGTTGGTTTATGAAATGAAAACATATTTCTGAATATCTGTACAGTAATCCCTTTAAATTCATGGCATCTAAATTTGCAGACTTTTACAATTAGCTTTTGTAAATGATCCAAGAAAATTATCTGATGTTCAAAGCTTATTTATGGGTCTTTCACCTGTGAGGCAAAAAGGCCAACAAACAAAAAACAATTCTTTAAATATTTATATATAAAAAACTGAGCATACCACACAGATCAAACTGCTGTATGGAAATAAATGCATTGGGTCAAAAAGACAAAAGATAAAAATTATCCAGGGATTTAACAGACCTCATTTCACATAACACATTGCATGAATCGAACTAATTCACATACTTTTGCCCCCCTCCCTGCCCAAAAAATGAGCATACCACACATGCTTCAAATGGTCACATACAAGGAAAATGCATTTTGTCAAAAACTGAGAAAAAATCAACAAGACAGACCTCATTTAGTGGTAGTTGTGGTATCTGGGTTCAAAGGACCTTCTAGAAACATTTCCCATAAATTTGAAGGGCTTACTGCACACTGGAGTAATTACGGATTATACATGGGATGTGTTAAAAATTTTTAGCAAACCAGTATCAATCACTGCAGTGCTGATTGCTACTATGTAGTAATACTGTAATAAATAGTACCTAAAGGAATATTTCACTTATGCATTAAATGTACATTTCACATCTACAGCTCAGCTTAATGTAATTTGTTGAAAAATTATAAAGAAAATCTATTAATACATGTGGTTTTCAATTAAAATCCTGAATTAAATGAGTTTTATACTGTCCAGTATTAATTCCCACCTGAATTTAATATTAGGCATCAATAAACTCATTTCTGTATTATTTTAGTGGCCATCTTTTATGAATAAATTTAAATGTACAGTACAGTAATTTCCCCCTCTTACTATATTTGGAATTCTTACAAATTCAGTAAATAACATTTAACCCTCTAAGTGTCCACAGTGTCTTACAATTTAAAAAAGAAAATTATGAAATGGTAGAGAATCGGGAAAACTTACAAAATTATGCTTTCACACATCGGCGACTTTGCCCTATTTTAGGCCAAATTCTTAGCTATTTCACTAGATGGAGCACAAGAAACTTCCCAACTATTTCAACTACCCAATTAGGTGATCAGAAATTAGTAATTTGGCCAATTTCACAAACTTCAAAATAGGGTCCAGAATAAACAATGCAGGCATTCCTGGCACTAAAATAATATTTTTCCCTGTTCATTAGTTATGTTCCCAGGCTTTAGATAAATTCCATTTTGTATTTTTATTCATAAAAAAAATTTATGCATTACTGTAAAAATTGCATAATGAACGCATATTAGACCAACCAGTTGGACGCATACTGAATGAGTAATGTGATCTGTTTACTCTGGAATATCTGCAAAAATCAAATATTTCCACTACTTTCAGCTCAATTTCAAGCTACTAAAGTCCTGAAATCAACCAAAATCATCTCTATTTCTGTAATATATCTTTTATTCTATCAAATGAGACTTAAGAAACTGAGAATATAACCAAGAAAACCATACGAAAATACACCACAGTCGCTGTTTTAAACCAAAAACATGGTCAAAGTTTTTCCCCCATTATGCACTGCTTGCTGCAGGATTTTTTTTACATTTTGCACACTTACCACAGACCCATTCTCTCGTCTCGAGGCTCAAATTTATCGCTCACAGCTTATGAGTGAGCTGGGCTCATGGGGTAGAACTACGGGACTGATCGCGAAAGTGTTAATTGTGCAAGAATAATTTTCAAAATTTGAATTAATATTCTATAAACAAAAGCAAACATTCTCGTTAACAGTTTGGAATCTGATTTTTTTTTTTTTTTATGAATAGGGAAATTTCAGATTTCCATTTTTCATAATTTTCTATAATCTGGACACCCATGCACAAGTAAAGGATACAACAATAGATGCTTTTGACTTAAGGGGGTTACATTCTGATTTACCCCTTTATAAGTCAAACATGTTAAATATACAGCCTCTCCTCACTTAGCAATGTGCTCGTTTACCAATGCCTCGGACATACGAGGGGCTCTCTGACCAATATTTATACCTAAATAATGTACTATATTAGAGCTGATTTCCTCCATGCTGTTTATTTCAACATACAGTACACTACTGTATAAACATTTAAAAATATACCCGGAATGTTATAAATGGACAAAGGTGACATTAAAACAATATCAAAGACAGTTGACACAAACCCACTACAGTGGACCCTCGCCTAACGATATTAATCCGTTCCCGAGAGCTCATCGTTAGCCGAATTAATTTTCCCCACAAGAAATAATGGAAATCAAATTAATCCGTTCTTGACACCCCAATGAAAAAAAGGAAAAAAATTATCACATGAAATATACATTTTTATACACCCAAAAAGAAGATATGCATTATTACTGCTATACTAAATAAAGAATACATGACACTTACCTTTATTGAAGATCTGGTGATGATTGATGGGATGGGAGGAGGGGAGATGGTGGAAGTTGTTATTGTTTGGAAGGGGAATCCCCTTCCATGAGGACTTGAGGCAGCAAGTCCTTTTCCGAGGTTACTTCCCATCTTCTTTTAATGCCACTAGGACCAGCTTGAGAGTCACTGGACCTCTGTCGCACAACAAATCTGTCCATAAAGCTCTGTACCTCGCGTTCCTTTAAGATTTGCCTAAAATGGGCCACAACATTGTCATTGTAATAGTCACCAGCACGGCTTGCAATAGCTGTGTTAGGGTGATTTTCATCCATAAAGGTTTCCAGTTCAGCCCACTTTGCACACATTTCCTTAATCTCTTTTTTTCAATTCCATACTAATTCTCGCCCTTTTAACCACAGGGTTGGCAATAAAAGCTTTCTTGGGGTCCATGGTGACTTATTTTGCAGTTACAAGCACTAAAAACAGAGATAATGTGAAATACAGTGGACCCCCGCATAGCGAACTTAATCCGTGCAAGAGGGCTGGTCGTTATGCGAAATGTTCGCTATGCGAATTAATTTTCCCCATAAGAAATAATGGAAATAAAATTAATCCGTGCAAGACACCCAAAAGTATGAAAAAAAATTTTTTTTACCACAAAAAAATTTTAATTTTAGTACACACAAACTGAAAAAGGCATGCACAATTACATGACACTTACTTTTATTGAAGATCTGGTGATGATTGATGGGATGGGAGGAGGGGAGAGAGAGTGTTAGTGTTTAGAAGGGGAATCCCCTTCCATTAGGACTTGAGGTAGCAAGTCCTTTTCCGGGGTTACTTCCCTTCTTCTTTTAATGCCACTAGGACCAGCTTCAGAGTCACTGGACCTCTGTCGCACAACAAATCTGTCCATAGAGCTCTGTACCTCCCGTTCCTTTACGATTTGTCTAAAATGGGCCATAACATTGTCATTGAAATAGTCACCAGCACGGCTTGCAACAGCTGTGTCAGGGTGATTTTCATCCATAAAGGTTTGCAGTTCAACCCACTGTGCACACATTTCCTTAATTTTTGAAGTAGGCACAATGGATTCCACAACTGGCATAGGCTTCTCAGGGTTAGCCCCAAACCCTTCAAAATCTTTCTTAATTTCCATACTAATTCTCACCCTTTTTACCACAGGGTTGGCACTAGAAGCTTTCTTGGGGCCCATGGTCACTTATTTTCCAGAAACAGCACCGAAAACACTGTAATAATACGAAATATTCCGAGTGTATGCTTGAATGTTACCGCGGAGGCTGGCTGGTAAACAATGGGACGGGCGGCACATGTGAGGCTGGCTGAGGCCGCACATTGGACGCGTCTCGGACGAAGGTCGCTGAGCGGGTTTTTGTCCACTATGCGGGGCAAAATTTTAGCGAACAAAGCGTTCGCTATGCGGATTGTTCGCTATGCAAGGCGTTCGCTATGCGGGGGTCCACTGTATACCGAATGTATGCGTAGATGCGGCTGCACTGGTTGGCTTGTAAACACTGGCACCCATGGGGCAGTGTGGACAGGTCCCGGACGAATCACATTGGGCGAGTTTATCGTTAGGTGGGGCAAAATTTTTACGCTCAAACACTTCATTAGGCAGATTTAACGTTATGCGATGCATTCGTTAGGCGAGCGTCCACTGTACCATTATAATATGCTCCTCACTTAGCAACAAATTCATTTAACGACGTGGTCTTAGGAACGCAACTCTGTTGTTAAGCGAGGAGAGACTGCATATAAATAACTACTGTCACGATGAGCTGTTGAAGTAAGAGGCGGGCACTGTCAAGAAAGGGAGTGCACAGCTCCTTGGGTACTCCCTTTCCTGATTATGTCTGCCTCTTACTTCAACAGCTCGCCCTTTCTACTAAGTCTCAAGTTGAAGATGCCTTAACTACTGTCACTGAATAAGTAAATAAACAAATAATTACTGTAATTAAATACCAGTATCAATAAACATACAGTACAAAAACTAAAGTTTTACAGTACACTGAATTGATTACCCAAGGATAATATAGGTATAGTATATGTATTGAGACAGATCATGGCTGGGTGGATGCTGCCATTGTGCAGCATCAGTAGAAAGTATCATATGGCATATCGCTAGCCCAGGAACAGATCAAAATTCAAAGCTTGACGACTATTGAATGTGCATCGTTATCGCACCATTGTAAAATCAAACCATCATAAAGCGAGAAGCATCTGTACTGTACAATATTTATCCAAGAACTCAATTATCCATCACTCCATTTGATCAGTCTATCCTGGTCTTTCTGTAATATTTATTTTTATCTTTCATCCCACTGGAGAGACATTCCCATGAGGATATCTTGCCTGGTATCA